GGTCTGTTGAACAACACGGCACTTGATGCGGTTCTAGATTACAGAACATGCTAGGTGAGCTTGCCTGAGTGGGTCCCAGGACAAGGCTTAAATGTTTGGCGCCGCTGTGTTCAGCCAGACAAATTCCGTTCGCTCTACTCGTCCTCTTATGACAGGCTTCATCGCACTACCGGCTTTTCGTGCCTGCATGAGTGTCTAAGGCCAGTCTCTCTTCTTCGTTTTTGGGTCGCTGCCGCTGCAAGGCATCCTAGTTGACATGAAATACCGACATCAAACCATCTGCGCGTGCCGTTACGGGTGGGACTCCTTACCAAAAACGTGTGCTGCTTTTTTTTTCTGAAACAATTCAAGGAAAGCGTGACCAATGGAAAGGTGTCCCAATGATTGTTCCCGTTTCCTTTAAGATGTCGCTAGTATCCATAATCCACCTTGGCCGTTTTATAGATGGAAGTAACAACTGCCGCTACGAGAGCGCAAACACGGAGCGCAACGCCTAAAGGCCCAACGACAGCAACTGTGTTAATAGTAGCGATCTTCGTAGACAAAAAGAAGATAGGGGTATATGTAGCAGGGTAAACGTGCCCGATCTGAAGTAAAAGTTTCAGAATCTAATAGGCGTAACGATTTTAAGCTAGTTCACTCGTTATGTCTAGCAAACTATTTAGAGAGCGTTGTAGCGAACCATTATATTAACTCCCAAATGTATTTGCGTATCTCATAGGTTTCTATGCTCCGTGATACCTTACATCAATATATGTACTTCTATTCAGTGCTCTCTTTTTAGAGATACCACGCACTAATAAAAATATATATTCCACAATTTTTGGAACCATTGCTTGTAACCTTTATATTTATATGGTATAAAAAAACACAAAGGGAACTCTCTGATTCCCTAAATACCCAATTATCCTGAAATTCATATATACGGAACCTACTCGATGATTATATACCTAGGTGTATCTCTCGCGTGTTTTTAACATCCGTAAAAACAAATAACTATACTTGCTCTCCTGTAGCTAGTTCGAGCTATCGGCACGATTACGCACGGTTTCTACCACAAGGTAGCTATCGTGGGGCGTTGATCCAATGTAGACTGTCCAAGCGAGGATTTGAATACTTGTTAATGTATAAAAACAACTACCGCTCCTGCCACCGTTCAAATGAACTCGCTTCTTGGGACTGGCCAAGGTGCGCTTTTGGGACAGGAGAACTACTTCAGTCTGCTGTCGACGATACATAAAAGAGAAATAAAGAGGGTGCAGACAACCTCAAAACAACGCCAATGAGACCTCTAGCGAATGATTCGAATCCATACGTTTTCACTTATGCTCGGTTCCTTTGGCTTGCCGTCATGTGCTTCCTGTCTGCATAGTATTCAGTTAGCAAGCATGACACCTTTATCCGCATGCAGAGTTCTTCTCTTTGGTTGGCTTTCTACTAAAACGACGAGAAGCCATACGGATCTCAAAAAGCTTAACCGTAAGATGCCAAAGTCTTTGGATCTGAACCGGCGTCTAACAAGGACCATCTTTCAGAATTCGAGCGAAGCTAATCGAACTGGCCTGTATGCTACTCAAAAACGAAATCTTTGTTGCCCTATCAAAATGATATCGCATCAGCGGAAAACGGAGAGCTTCCTTAAACCTTTTACAGAAACGGCAGATTCTGCTTCCGCATTACCTGACGTTTTATATATCTATATATAACGTCAGGTAACATATATATATATATATATATATATATCTGTATCAGCGCGTTTGCCGATAAAATGAAGCGACGCGAGACTAAGATATGTGCATTGTTCACCGAAGGACCAGTTTTTCAAATCCAGATAGAGGATTTGATCAAAAAAAGGATAGCGCTATATCAGACGAATGAGAGAGCAGAAAAAGAAAGCATAGAAACAGGACCAGATCACTGAGACCTCTCCTGACGTCCCAGAACATTGGTGCGCAATGCGATACAATTAGAGCATAAGGCTATTGACAAGACAAATAGACTCTAGTACCGTATGAAACTCTGCCGCACTGCACTAGTGAAACGTCTAATTTGTCACTAGGCAAACACATTGCAGTAGCGGCCTTTGTTTCCTGAAATGGTGAACCATCGTTACCGCCGGGCCTAACGTTACGGCTATCCGGCCCTCTGCATAACGCTGGAAATCTCACTGGCTGCCAGCTCTTACAACTCGGCTCATTTTAACCCCCACAAGAGCCGTGAGTTCTAGCGTTAGACGCGGTATAAGCCGTTATTTGGAGTATAGATTGCTTAATGCTGTGATGAAGAGATTTTGGTTCTCAGGACTGTTGCATCGGAAGTGGTAGAAAACGCGTTAAGTATTGCGACTGCAGTACTGGAGACGATCTAGACCACCATCTCCCTCGCGGCCTCCGCCTTGTACGACAAACCGCTAATTTGTGTTTGACATGTATTTGACTCGACATGGACGCAAGGTAGGCTTGCTCTTACTTCTGCCTATCCAAACTAAACAACGGTTAAACCAAGTAAGCGCGGTGTAGAGAATAGCCACTGTCTGACAAGAACGACTAACATCAGCTCGCTTCCGGTTTTATTCCTGTTTGCAAATGCTTGGAGGCGCTCACTAAAAGCTTACAAAACCTTGCGACCGGCTGCCGCCATAGCCATCAACGGCTTCCTGGCATTCCAAGCTCAACGGGGTTATACGGCTCACTGGGCAGACAACTTTGTAAGGAGTAAATCAGGTTTGCCATTAGCTCACTCACTAGGAAGGGTCTCATATAATATTCATAGTTCGCGCTGGACTGATGGTTCTGGTTTGGCTGATGGTACGAGCTAAAGAAGCCGTTCGGAAGGCAATTTATACTAATCAGATCAGTCACAAGTGCGGTGGGGGAACAACCGGCAGCGAAAAGTCAGCTGACAAACTGTAGAGAAATGTTCAGTTTCAGAGTACCAGCGAGAGCGCAAAGATTGCAACCTATCGAAAGTGACTCATTATATATTTGACCACAAGTGGCCTTCAGTCAAGTTGACTCGAGCCAAATTGGATCATCGATTCTAAGCACATACGTGCAAGCATCGACGGTGTGGAAGTACTTGCACTAGAAATCTAACTAAACAAAAAGACCCAATTTGTACCGGTCGTATTTTCCTTCTTTTTTTTTTGATCGTGGCCCCTTTCTAGTACACGCACTGTAGGTGGAGTACTGTTAACCATAGTGATTTTTGTAGAAAAGCAGCTAGAAATTCACTTTTCAGCATTAATTTGTAGCCGATTTAGCGGGTTGGTTGTATTTCGTGTTATTGAGCAACATTACGAATTTACCTCCTGGTCGACATCTCTTTCTTGCTGCATAGACCCCCTTCGATTTAATTTGTTTCTTTTGCTAGCACGATGTCTACTCGTAATGTCACTATGTCATCGGATATAACCGGTGTCAAGGCCGTCAATTACTACTACATCCCGTCAATATATGTGGTGCCCCCTGGAGTTTATGTAGGGAACTTCACAAGACTAACGGCGCCACCTAGCGAACACTTACGCTACCGGCCATGCATTCCCACGCATCCTTGGGAAGAAGGCGGGCCCGTATAGGAAAGGACAGTTCTACTACAATGAGCGCAGAGTAAAAACAGCTGATTCATTCATGGTCTTTAGTTGCGGGCGTTTCCGTAGAGGGCGGCACAGACCCCGCGAACAGGTGGGTCACAAGAAAGATATCAGCGACACGGTGAAAAATAAGGTCACGAGCGCAAAATACGCAAAGAGAACGACCTTATCTCGCTGAGTATGGAAGACGGACTTAGGCTGTGACAATGAGCAAGAAATTGGCCACCGATAGTGGCTAAGGGTGAGCTCATATACCTGTATATGTAAATACGTGAACATGTCACGTTAGCCTAAACAATAGACATCGACATCGAGCTAAGTGAAGACCACGTCCACTTACGTGTAGTAAGATTCGTTTTTGAAACTGTCGGCCATGATCAATTTCGCACAGTTCCTAATAAAGCTTTGCTAACTTAAAACTGATTGTTATATAAAATCAACAAAATCAGGCTTTATCGTTTGGAATCACTTTCCGTTTTAGAAAATTGTACTGAAGGCGTGCACACCAACGTCGTACGTCGACACTAGTCAACGGAATTGTTTCTAGAACAGCAGCAACAGTCTTAGCAGTGACAAGGCTTTTGAGGCATATCTAAACCCATTATTTCCACTTCATCCATGCCATATAGATGAAGTAAACGCATGAGTATATTCTTAGGGATAGCGAAACAAGTCGTTCGTCACAACGCGGATCGCCAACTCCGTAATTATTCCGCAGTCAAATGTTTGGCCTGTGTTAGACATCCCGACATATCCGATATTATTATTAGGATCACTGATGCCTATAATTTTGCTGCACACGTGCAAAGCAATCGAAACGATTGGAAAATCGGAGATCCTCATTTAAAAAGACAGTATAGTTTGTATCAAATAATAAAGGTCACTTTTGGATCTGACTTAGCGACCATATATGAGCGTGCTCGGTGGAAAGAGTATATATATGTTCCTTCAAGTTTAGTTTGCGCATGACGTAGGGATATTTTCCAGTTATTATTTATTATATTATTCGTTATATTTCCAATCATGTTGTAAAGTTACCCGGAAGGCTTATAGGGATTACTATAATTAAGAGGACAAGCTGCCAATGCTACTATTTGTTGCTAGAAGAAACGGCGAATATCAGAATTTTATCCTACCACGCAGTTCATCAGTCCAATTCAACTGACTATTAGACCGGGTGATAAGGTATTTAATATCTGCTTCAATTCATTAGAGAAATTTTATGTTTTTCGTTCACAATGAGGCTGGGCTGTATCTCAATTATGAAAGGGATATACAATAAATTACTTGTTTACTAGAGAACTTGGGGGTTGGTAACTGTATACGTTTCGTCTAAGTGAGAAGTGACTGCTTGCCTAGGAGACTGCTGGAGAGAGCTACATAATTACGCACTTTGACAACAGCTTACCTCAAATTTAGCATACATAAGGGAAACCTCATCACCGTCGTCTGAAATTAAACAGAAAATGCGCCAATTAGTAGATAACTAATGGATTTGTATGAAAATCAAACTAACTACCCAACGTTACACAACGTATAATCATGGCTGATTCATACATGCCCTTTACGACAGGAACACACAGATCTAAAAGCTTGCACCATAGGCCTCTCTAAGAATATTTAATACTTTCCAATCACACCTATACGTAGAATTCTGTCATCAAAAATATCCGTTTGTGTTCTAGTGACGATCGGACATTAAAACTAGAGTAACATGTATAAAGCAATCCAGACTCCTTGAAAAAGCTTTTTTTTTTTTCCTGTAGAAAAACTAAACCGGTTCGGAGATATATTAGTCAGGTTTGCGAAACGTAATTACGTCTTGTGACTGCTGTCAATTGTAGACTTGTTTTCATACCGATGCCGAGCTTGCCGCCGTTGAAATATACTAGGTTTGCATGAAGGTTCTCCAGTTCTCTCATCAGCTACTCGAAGGTCGTCTATGAATCATTTCGTCATAAGATTTTTAAGGGCTGGATGATCTCCTGTGTACTATCCTTGCATATGCCCTGCTTAAATCTTGTCTCTCTTTCAGTAATGCACTTATACACCAAACAGATAATTATGATCCGATCCAAATAATTATTTCTTCATCGTCGAGGCTCTACGCTTATTTTACCCATCTATGTTGTCTAGGAAAAAAAAACTAAAGGCCGTAGCACAAATTCATCCTGTTTATAAAACGACTATACATCTTATAAACAGTACGGTAGTCAGTGTAATCAACAAGCATTTGAACTGCTAGTCCAAATAAGGGAAACTGCAGGGTCTCGGATTAACGTTTATTCTCTTATGGCTTTCTAGTTGTGATAGCTTCCTTTCTCTTTGCAGGTACAATCCTTATCATACCCCCACCGCGACTCCGGTTATTCGACCAGCCCCTGACCGCGCTCTGGTTATTTTCGACTTTTTTTTTGTTACGAACACATTCTGCTCAATCTAAGCTTTTTTTTTTCTTCTAAACAATTAGCGCTGTCTCTCTCGCTGCCTCCATATAACCTTGTACTTGAAATAGTGTGAATAGCGTGCCCAGTGATGAGCCATAGGAGTCCGTCGACATAGGGTTCGCTGATTTCAAAGTGAGGTGCGTCTTCGCCTTTTGAATATTCCCTTAAATGAACTAGTGATACAAAGGTGGTCAGCTCGAGCGAGAGGTTTACACACCATCCCAAATGCCATCAAGTCGACCGGGATGATCTGGTGCAAAGTATTTATTCCAAATAATGTTTGATAGGATAGCATCAATGTTCGAGTTAAGACTCTTTACACTATGGGATATTTTTGCAAATAGTACCAGTAAGCAATGGATTATACTCCATTCTAGTGTAGGCAAATCAACATTTTTAGCACGAAATAGGCAATGCAGCTAGGAAAATGTTTTCACAAATTTTGAAAAGGTACAATTTGATCTTATAAAAAACCACGATAGATGATCAACCAATGTAAGCCTCTCGAATCAGGTTTTAGACGCTATTACAGAAAATTATAAAATGCGAGTATGGGGTGCCCTTAGGAATTGACAAAACAAATTTGGGCCACCATTAAATAGCAGTAATTTTTCTTGACCCGTTTCCGTTAATATGTTTTCGTCCGAGTAGCTACAGGCTTGTACCGATGCACACCAATTAAATGCGCAATTAATAAGACATATTGGTCTCCTGCGAGTGGGTTTTTGCAGAGCAATTAGCTTGCAAGCAGTAATACAGAGAGATATACTTCCAGTATAGAAATCCACTGGTAGGGAAACCTATTTTAAAAGGTATTGTACATTAGTTAAAACTATTAATGATTGCATTCCGAGTTCACGTCTGGAAGTTGAGGCATAGGAGAAAAATAATCCAATCACGTTTGAAGTCCTTTAGCGGTAACACTTGATGGGCTCGCTGTCTAGTTAAATGGCTCTTATCAGCTGCTTCACCTAGCTGCTTGCCGATTGCATAAATAGTGGTATCAAATTAAGCGAAGTTAAGCCGACGATCCTCCACCAAGCGTCGTTCCATCGAGCCTCGCTGATACGGCCGAGATAAAATGTTGAGGCTTTGATTTATCAGCAATACTACTCTATATTAGCAATGAACAGTGAGGATTCAATCTCACAATGATCGACAAACTGTTATGGATAACCAAATGCGTGTTTCTATTAAAACAATTGTCAATCTATCTAACATCTTATGTCTCATAAACATGAGCTTAGTCATGCCAACAAAATGTTTTTTAGAAGCGACCCATATTTGATCAAGTGTCTTTTACTAAACAAGCTAATCCGCCTTTAACGGACTTTAATAAATACCTGCAAAAGTGTCAATGGAAAGCGCACCAAAAATGGATAGGCTAAGGAAACGCGAATGATCGGCACTGACAACCAACTAAGCACCCTTACACTTATGTGACTTACCACCCAGCTGTCACACGAGATATTTTCATGGCGGTTGCCCTAACCAGGGCAACATCGAATGTCCCACCAGCACTACCAACAGTTTTGGCCAATGAGCCGGCCATGTTAGCAACCACAGCTGTGCTCTGGTGTAGATTGGCCCATGCCTCTATGTAGCCGTCAGGGTAAGTTGAACAACAGGCATGACAACACAATCGAATTGACTTTTCTGCTAGCTGTCTGCCAGCTGCCTAACCCCAGCTCACCTTGGTAGCAAACGTTATCGGTCATTTGTTTCCGCTCTGATGAGAGCAGGAGTACGGAAGCAGGTGTAGGAGATGGCATCGTTAGCGATTAGTTGTCCGGACCAGCTATTCAGCCAATGCTGCTTGCTAGTCTGATGACCTGCATCTCTACCGTTCCTTACAAATAACATGTCCCGCCACGCGAACAGGATCGGCTGACTCGACTGTTGATGACGGCAACTTGTTGTCTTATACCTCCTTTTCCGTATCGTCTTTTCCTGACCTCCTTTTCCGTATTTGCTGCCCTCATATCTTCCTCGCCCGTCTTGTCTAGGCGCTTATTTTTCTCGCGACTGTGGTGGCTGAGTACTGCGGCATCTGCTCTAACTGTCGTTGTAACTAGAACTGGTCTGCAGCCTTTCCCGCTGTTGTTACTCTTTTTTCTCCAATAGCTGACCTTCGCACCCGTACCGCAGACTGGCGAGACACAAGCTTTGACCCATCTTGGTGCGTCCAGACTGCCAGACGCAACCCATAGTAAAAAAGAACAGAAGCGGCAAGAAGACAACAAAATAGCATTCTCTTCGCATCTGCGCAAAGCAGCGTTGAACCACTTAAACAGAAGAATTTTGTAGAACGTCGCCTCAGAGATATAGCCGTTCGTCTTTTGGCATTGACGACGGCTACGGCAATGGCAACAGAACCATCTAACGCAGAGAGGGTGTCAGAGGTTTAAAGCGGTGAGGCTTTACCGATATTGAAGATACTGATAAGAAATAGAGAATCCCACCGATTGGTCATGAGTGTGACTCACAGGCAACCATGAAGTATGAATGTAAATCGTAAAAAATACGCACAGAAAAAATCAAGGGAAAGAAGAGCTGAGTGACGGAAACTACACTTGCATCTTGAATGAACAACGTACGCATTCGGTACTTACGTGCCTATTCTGGAGCTGATGCATAAGCATCGCGAGACAAGAGCCAGTTCCGATCCCAGATATCTAAATTCAGTTCCATGTTTTTGGCCAGGATCAAGTAGAAGTGTAGAAAGAAACGAAATGCGCCGTAATTCAGGCGCTTCGGGAAAAGAGACGGCAACTTTAGACGGCTTAAGTAACTAAGTGGCTTCCATGTCCTTCCGACTGTCGGTGAAGAGGGTCCATGAGTGAAGCAGGTAGAGAAGAACGCATGAATGAACGAAGCAAACGGCAAGGAAAGGCCAAATGGAGCGTGAAATTACCGAAGGTTGCACACATTCCACGCACAATATGCTGGGCGCGACTCGGCGTATGATTAGTGGTAATGCCTAAAGTTAAGGGTCTATGACACCTCCCTACTTGCTGATGCCCACCTTGCGAGTTTCTGTAAAGATTTGCCCAAGGGCTGTGCTTGAAAAGGGCTGTAATGAGTTCGTTTTAATTCTTTCTTAATTTTCTTATAAACTCCTTTTTAGCGCCTCATATTTGGTCGGCCTAGAGAGGGTCTAGAAAGAAGGTATTTCTATCTTTATACTTTTACGGTTGGCGTATTTTGTATCCCGATTAAGGTTGTTTGCATATCTGAGATTAAAAAAAACGGGGATCATTAGCGTGTTATAAATATATTACACTCCTATCCTATGAGTGTATATATATATATATATATATACAGACGCGAAATAAGAGTAGAAAAAAAGGGTAAAATAAATTGTCCATAATCTTAAATCAAGTTGTGCAGTGATTTCAAGTCGTTATTGATATAAGTAAAATCACATACATGCTATCTATATCGCAATTATGTTGAACAGTTAGTGCCCACAGTAAAGCCTAGATCAAAAAATACACACGTATATCGTAAAGCACAGGCTCTCCTTCGCTATAATCGTAACAAAAAAATATGCCTTAACCAGTATCGAAAGAAGTACCTTAAAATGCTCTGCATCACTTACTTACCTCAGACCTTCATTCATTTGGCCTAACTAATTTTGTAAAAATGAACATTTCATCACTGAAAACTTTCAATGTATCACTAGGTAATTTAGGTAGATTAAAGTTATCTATGCATATCGAATGCATATACCAAATGAAACAGAGAAAGTCCGGTACCTTTAAGTTCCATTCAAGCGAACAGGGATGATCTAACCCTCATATAAGCAGTGGCTTATCATTCAAGCGAGTCATCGTTTATGCTCTATATTGCCAAACAATTTCGTCACGTTACAGGAACACGCTAAGTATTTTCTGTATTTCATAACATGGGTAACAATTATAATATACAAGATGGCATATGCAATAAACGTATTTAGTTCCGCTTTGTTAAAACCTATCACAATCTCTCCGCGCAAAGCTT